CATTAAAAATGCCATCAAAGAAAAACTGCTATACGTGGGAGTTTTGGACTGCATTTGGGCTTCTACATTTATCTGAAGTGACCAAGAAACCAAATGAACAAACACTAARCTGACAGTGTTAAAGAATGAGGTTAATTCAAGCACGTCAGCAAGCTGGTACCATAGCTCTGGAACACATGGTTTCTAATTCTCCAGGTTCCGTAATGTATTAATATTCTTAGTAGGTACAGGACTAAAAATACTTTGAAGGCAGAGCACCTCATGCAGCATTGAGCTGGGAAAGAGTTCAGAAACTTGAAGTGAAATTTGTCATCTCAGCAGCTTTCTTCTACAGCTACACAAACGTCCTGCCATGATCCAAGGATTCAGGTTACCTCAGAATGCCAGCCACTCTGAGTCAGCGCACAAGTGACTGAGTTCTTCCACATACTGACAGCATGACTCAGCAGGCTGAATGTATTGAGGTTGATTCTCTTGATTCTGAATGACAGCTTGAGTAGACCTAAATAATTAACTACAGTATGCACAAGTTAGAATTTCAGCTGTATGCATTCATTTAAAAATCCTTTTCATTATGTCTTCCCCCCTACAGTATGAATACTTCAATGCTGTGCTGATCAATGAGGTTGATGCGGACGGGCACAATGTAGAGCTGGGAGGAGAGTTTGTCCTGCAACCTAATGATCATTTTAACAACATGTCAGTCAACCTCAGCCTCAGTGTGGTCCAGGTGCCCACCAACATGTACAACAAAGGTATGTTCACAGTATCTGTAGGAAAAGTGCTCCACACTCAAAACATTTGAGTATGAAGCTTTGTAGTGATGTTGTTCAATGCTATTGTCATCAAGTCAGCTGGATACACATTTAGATACAACACACAAAATACGATTATTGGATGCACATTTATACAAACTTTGGAGTTAATCTGATTCAAAATGGCTGACATGGTCAGTTTACTTTGTCAAACACAAAGATGGCCGTAACTCAGTCACTTTTACAGACGTTAATGGAAACATTGGTGAGGTAGTAGCTGAGCTGGGTTTGCACTGCATCCTCTCCACTGAAGTACGAACTCTGCAGTAAAAACAGACCCTTTATACTCAGTGAGACTTTTTGACAGACGCCAAATCGAATGCGGAGTCAGTCTACAAAGATTGCACCTCTCAACAGGAAAATGAACGAGCACATCCGTATTTTCAAAATAATTCACCAAAGACTGACTACATTTTGTCAAAATCCTACTTATGTTAATAAATATAGGGGTAATTTATACATACAGTATGTGGTGTCAGACCTGATTATTTATGGCTATGCACACACACATAATAGTAATAATAAAAAAAAACACGAGGATTTTATTCTATAACAAATTTGTCAAAAAGACAAACTGTGATACCATTTCAACTGTTGTTGTGTCTGTCCATGGAGTTATATAGAATAGTGTTATTTAACTCTGTGAGTCCATCTTACACAGAATGAAATGCTTTGATGTTACTTCAGTACATCACTGGCTTTATTGAGTGATCTTGACGAATGGTGGCAAAGTGCGCCGCTGAGCAAAGTTAAGTTGCACGCAGTGTAAATTCAGGGTGAGAGTCATCCCCATCACATAGTCAGTGCTAACAGAATGCATACAGTAAGTCATAGGTTTACAACTTCAAGTGTTAGAGTCGGCTTTGCCTGCTGCTTAGCAAAATATCTCATAAAAAAGATACCTTATTTTTAACTCCCAGAAACTAATCATTGTAAATTCATCTACAACTGAATCAGTTTTGGGGTCAACAATGTTTAAGATTGCAAACACATCTGACTTTATAAAACAAAACAAAAATAACTTAGCTTTACAGAGATTGACCCAATGTGTGGTGCTAGTTGTGGATTATCCTCAACACATAGATGATATTCCTTCAGGGACAGCTAGTTTCATTTTTACTGCTTTTAACAGTAAAAAACAACTTTAAAAGCAAAATAACTGAGAACATTCACATGTAAGAAAAATATTGTTATACAAGGATGCAGATTTGACTTCAATACTGTTCCTACCACACACACTGACCCAATTAACAGTTAAATAATTAAACGTCTCCTAATTAACCATCCACTCAGATCCAATCAGAGACTTCAGGGCCTTGTCCAATGCACAGTGGACAGAGTGAATGTCATGTTGGCTTAACCTAGCTACAAGACTCAAAGATTTTCTCTCGTAACAAGAGGAAGGAAGAGAGGGAGAGGAAAATAGGAAGAAAGTAAATGAGGAAGAAAGTAGGCTAAGTCAGACTGATGGAAGGTCTAAGCAAGAGATTAATTGCGCCCTGTAGAAAAATGAGGAAAAGCAAGTGAGAGTGACAGGGTGAAAGTGAGAGAAACTAAATGAATAAAAGTGCATGGAAAGTGAATCTGGCAGGTTGGCAGGCTGATGAAAGAGGAAGAGTAACTGTGATCTGATTTACAAGCAAAATGATTAGACTTGTACCTGGTTTTCTGAATACAACACTAGAGATGAATTGGCCGGGACTTTGGGAAGCTTGTTGTGGGGGTGGGACAAAATAAGCTAAAGAAGCGTGTCTTTGAAAAACACTGCAAATGAAATATAATTTAGATCATCTGCAAGCACTGTAACTTAAAAAATATGCACATCAGTTAATCTAACTGCAAACTGTGCTAATCAGTGAACTGCACACCTTCACAGCTCTGCACATACTGTATTTACAAGTGTTGAACGCTTTTGGATTTTCCTGTTCTGTGTAACCATTTCTTAATAACTAGAACAAACAAAAAGTAGGACAGGGAATTATTCCAGTTTGAAAATGACGCAGCAATAATCCTTGTGCATCAATCCATTTCAGTTAACACAACTGGAAAGTAACATCACATTATGTGTTAATTAGAGTGACATGAAGTGGAAAAAAACATGTATGTATGCAGGACGTAGAATGTTAAAAAGATAAATAGTGCTGAGGATGTGGCCAAATATTGGAAAAGAACAGAAATAGACTCAAAGCCAACTGAAAATGACTGCAGGTGTGTGGAACTGTACCACAGAGAGGACATTTATTTGGTCCAGTTTTTAGACAGCAGGATGAATGTCTGGTAACTTGTTTTTCCACAAGTTTAGAATAATTCAAAGACTTAGTGATTAATGAACTTGAGTTGATACTCTTTTGATCAGGGTCAAGAGCAAAACATAGAGATACATTTAGTGCTGACATGTATGGTGGACTGCAGAAAGAAAAAAACAACAGAGTGTTTCTTATACTTCCATTTAAGCAAACTGTTTTTATATCAAGCTAAGTTGATAAACTTTGAAAAATGAGAAGCACTGAGCTCAAATAAAGGGACTTCAGTGTACTTCTCATATTTAGCTTTGTGCAACATGTTGTAGTGGCTTGTATTAAAATCCTTCATGGCAGACAATGTCTCTAAACAAACAAAACATAGGTTTGCCTTGAAATTCTCTGAACAGATAGACTAGCTCTCTTTTGCTGTTCTGCATTTGCAAAACTGTTTATTTTGCATATTTAGTTTAAGGTTGTATACTCAACATTATTCAGCCAAAACATTTCATTGAAATTTAAACTGGTTGATCAAGTTTCCTAATCTCAGCATGGTTTAATCTGTAAATCATTCAAGAAATTCCTTTCAGAACCATTATTCACATGTCAAATGATCTTTGATTAGTGAAGCAGGTTCATATGAATTTGTTTTGTTTTGTTTTACTGGAGTTGCTATAGTAATGCAAGGTCTTTTTGTTTCATGAGTCACATTGTTTTAAAAATGCTGAATATATTAATTTATTTTTACCTGAGGATGAATCATAAAAAAACAAGATACTGAAAGAAAAATGAACACAAACATGCACAATTTCTTCTTATACCTGGAATTTTGATGTTTGGAAAAAATATGAGCACCTAGAAAAATTGTGTCTTAAATGAGGGAAGAAAATGTGTAAGACAGAAAACAGTTTGATCGGAATAAGTAGCCTTTGATCAGGTTAACCCTCCTGCTGCATCAACCCAGTTCAACACAGCAGAGTGTTGAGTTCAGGTGGGGTTCAGAACATCATGGGTACTTTAAGATCTGGGTTGCTTTCTTGCCTTATTTCTTTATCCTGACCTCATGCGTGTGACTTAAAAAAACAGATTTTAGAACCATGTTTCAGTTATTATACATCTGATGGGGGGAGGTGTGACAAATCAGCTGTTAAGCAAGATTGAAAGTTGTTTTTCTGCTGAAGTATTTAAGTCAAGATAAAAAACATGGAACAATACTATATATGCTGGAATTACAACAAAAAAGATAATGATGGATAAACTCACAGAAGTGATTGCAGCAGGTGATCCATGCTGTCAGTCATCATTACAGTCTTCTTCATTTTTCTTAACACAATCACTTCAGCCATTCGCTGTCAAAGCAGTGCCATCTAGTGGCAAGAAGTAATAACAGTAAGAAAGTGGAACATTAATGCATTCACTGACTTCAGAACAAATCTCTCAGGTGTGGAAACAACAAAGAAAACATCCATCCATTATGTTAACCTGCTTCTTTTTTTCAGGGTAACAGGGGTCACTGCTACCCATATCCAGCAGTCACTGTGTGAGGGGGCAGGGTAGACCCCAGACAGGTTACAAAGTCCATCACAGGGCACAGAGACAAAAAAAAAACAAAACAAAAAAAAAAAAACATTCACACTCTCATCACACCTTAGGACAAATTTTAGAGTCATTTTTTTTAGTAGGAATATATGATATAAACGATATACGGTAGAAAGAAACAATATCAATTTGGCTTTACCGGCCAACTGCGGTAATTCTTGTTGATGACGTAACCGGCTGGAGTCAAAACAGAGGAAACGGGAAGCAGCGTGGTTGAGAGCGCAAAAGAAGAGCAAAAAGTTGCAAAACATAAAATATCTGGACCTGATTCGGGTTTAACCTCCAGCAATCTTAGGAGGAGTGCGGCAGATGTCACGGCCAGACAACGAGGCGACAGTTAGTGCAGGCGAAGACAGTGTGAGCCCCAGCAGGACGCACAGAGTAAAGCTCGCAGAGTCCAAAGGACCTCATTTCTCCTGCAGTCGTAGTGCGATGCTGTTTCAGCCATACAGCAGGGAAGCGCTGTGGGAAAGGGTGATGGTCTGACAGTCTTTCAAAAAACAAAAAAACTGTAAAAGCATAAACGGGATCACTGTCACCCTGTCGGAGCACGCACATAGTAAAACGTGGAGTGCAGAAAAACTAATCTGTGTGTAGAAAGGAGTAAATACAAGCAATTTGTTTTACCACCTTAAAACGAAGCATGTGGTTGAACAAGCAGTAATGCAGCATATTTGAATTTACAAACACAACATC